TGCAGTGATGCATTATTTAGATGTTGTTTCGTCAATGTTGTTATAGTACAACCAAATCGCAGAGCGACCAGATTACCTTCTTACTTCAATTCCCAAGTCAACCATGACACGTGGCATGAGCGCCAGGAAGAATACCTTCAACATGTTGAGTTTTGTGGGAAAGCTGCTATGCGTCAAAATGACCTTCGACGGGTTTATCTACGAGAATAACCGGTCGGTACATGGGTGGACCAAATACCGCCATGGACAACGCTGGCCACCTGCAAGGGCACCTGCAAAGTACATCTCGATCGATGTACTAATGTTCTACGTGACTCCCATGGGGTATTGATGCGAAAACCTACCGAGATAATGGCTAAACACCGTCTCTTACTTGCACTTGTTGAGCGGGCAAGGTGTACTGGCCATCGCCAACGTGCCTCGGTGTGGAACAAAGAATTAGACCTGGCTGCGTGAAATACTTTGAAGATGCAGTTTCTTTTTGCCGACGCAGTCCAGATCGCTAGTGATCTGTTCCTTTTAAACCGTGATCCTTTCCATGACCATCCGTGCCCCCCTTCCGTTCTGATGGCCAACGCACGAGGATGTGTCTTGGATGGCACAGCAATCCCTCGACAACCCGACGGGTCGATCACGCGGCCGCCCCCGGGAGGATTAGGGGGTGCTGCATGTGCAGATAATGTAAACGTGCATTCCCCCTCGAATGACAGAGACCCTAAACGTTGCAGGTGGTGCGACAAGGAGGAATACCATTGGGAATGTCCTAGCTGCAAGAGAATAATTACGGCCGGAATAAGCCTGGTCACCTACACCTGCAAATGCAAGGTTGCCAAACCTTTGAAGCTGCCCGACAACCGCGGACAGGTGCCGCAGGCTCCTGCCGAACCGGCAGCACCACCACCCGAGGCACAGGCCTTGCCACCACTTGTGCGGCTACGAGCACCAAGACCTGGCTCCAGGGCTGGCCCCGCAGCTGGCGCCAGCAGCCACGACATTACAGTAGGCAGACATGCTGCTGAACCTGCTGTGGGGCAACCTGCCTCGAGTGGAGCCGGTAGCTCGGACGATCGCAGACGACCGCCGCAGATCAGAGCCAGACGTGGCCGACAGCAAGGAGGATATCCACCGCCACCATATGCGGGTAACCCTGCTGCACGCCCACGACTCCCAGACCGGTCAAGGTTCGATGTCCAAATCAGCCCAACTTACAGAATTTACGAAGCCTTGACCCAAGCGTGGTAACACGCGAGTTTTGGAAACTACATATGCGATGGTTCCATGCTAAAGGGCCTAGGGTGATATTCATCTTAAACGAAGCTGGTCTGGGCAGCGGCAGGTTCAACCTGATCAAGGGCGTCTGCGACGCATGTCTGGAGTGCAGGGCTTGGGATAAGCTGGGGTATACCGTTATGCCATCTACTGCACTACCTGGCAAGTTCAGCGAAGAAGTCGGATGCGACCTTATGTTCTACAAACAGGAAGACAATGCATTTCGCATCGTTGATCGCTGCATTCGATGTGCTACTGGAATGCAAGTACCAGATAAGAAACAATGACCAGTATCTCAGATGCGTATCATCAGTGCTGGATGCAGTTTTGACCTGCTAAGGTACTCTACTCCGCTGGGGGGGGGGGGCGCCCTCAATGACGACGCTGCAAAGGCGGCCCTCAAGGCAAAAGGCGCTGAGCTGAGGACGCGCGCGTGGGCAACGCGCTGCGACAGTTGAAGCCAGAAGTGGCATATTACGCCATCTACTTCACGTCATGGAAGCTGAACTCAAAAGGTTAGATATACCCCTTGTATTCACTCGGCTACTGCGCGAAGCCCTGTTTGCCGCCAGAGCGGGTTTCCTTTTATAGTGAGGTGTCTCAATATAACGTGATGTTTGGACGGCACCCGGCAATGATGACTTGCCTGCCTGTTCTGGGCAACGAATAGCCGATGAAGATGTCTGATCATTCTCGCGAACAGGTGATGCGCCGGGCATGCGTTGGAGCTATCGCGCAGGCTACTGCATTGGCCAAGACCAATCGTGCATTACGTACTAAGACAACCATTACCGGTCAGCATCGCTACGATGAAGGAGATTTGGTGGACTATATTGTCCCGCAACTACGAAGGGCGACTGGGGGGGCCGGAATGGCCCGTTCCCGGTTGCGAAGAAAGGCCCCGACAGGGGTCAAGTCATTACTCGAGTCGCAAACCGCGATGTACAAGCCGAATGCGGCGACGCACGACATTCATTTTACATCGAAACTTCGATCGCCCGAGAGATTGGCTCTGACAACGCTGCGCTGCGGACAGTGTTGACATTTGTTGCCAGTCTTCCTGCGGGGGCCCTGCTATGACGTTTGGTTGTGTCCCGACCAAAAAACGGGAACGCTTCAGATAACCAGTGCGAGCCGATTGTCTCCCAAGGTACACTTAGTTCTACAATGCCTCAGCAGAAGCTTCTTCCATGTCCGAAATGTAGTTTCTGTTAGGTTAGTTTCAGAGTTTTCACGAGCGACCTGAGGTGGGATATGCTGACAACTGCACTTTGGTACATTATGACAACGACGTGATTCCAGGTTTCTACTACTATGAAGCAGAAGGCATTGCCCTGAACATACATGATAGAACTGGATCAGCAGATTCGACGGTCATCCAAAGCCTAAAGTCCACTAAACCTCAAGCGGATTTCGACCAATATATGACACAGTTTGAGGATCTGGCGTGCATGCCGACGCAGGACGACAACGCCAGAGAGGCCCCAGAAGCCTAACCACCACCGGAAGATGGACGGCTCCCTACGATCTATGAGGAATCAGAAGCGGACCTTGAGGCACATATTATGGAGGCGCGTTGCGCATAATTACGTGAAGAGAGGGAACTGTTGGAGGCAACTCCATTCGATGACCTTTGCACTGTACCTGCGCATATCATCACTGACAGCAGTGTGCTGGTCACGGTGGCTGAAGAACAGCGGGGGCAGGTGCCTGCGTGGGGTCATCCACGCGACTCCGACATCGAGGAGACGCTTCATGTACCACTATGCTCCGCGGACGAAGATCATAGTAACGGATTGGACTCGGACGAGAATGGTCAATATATAGAACTCTGCTTTACTTCAGAAATGTCAAAGGTAGTCCCGTCCGAACAACAGCGTAGGATATTGGACTTCGACCGTGTAGCCACCGTGCGATTATATGTCGCCGCCGCCGCAAAACGAGCTGCGGTCGCCCAGGAAGACGACCTCCTCGCGAAGGCCGACATTCAGGCGAATCCCGTTAAAATATCAGAGGCCCCATGCATTGATTTCAAGACATGGTTTGGCAACAAGTGTATCAATATGCAACGTGTATCTAAAGCGTCAAACATCGCGGCGCCGAGGTGCGTATATAAGTGGGAGTTCCTGAAGAACGAGAAGGGCGAAATGGGGCGCCCCATCGGGCTACGCCCGGTACTTCGGGGGTTCATGGACCTCGAGGCTTTCGACGTGGAAACGCCCCCAGGAACGGCGCGGCGGCCAAGCCAAATATTACTCGCAGGCGCGGCAGCGCGCAATGAGCAATGTACCATTACTTCCCTTGACATCAACATGGATTTCCTGGAGGGGTTAACCTGCGAGGAACTTGCTGAGGCAAACGGGGAAAAGGAACGTGCGGTGTGTTTTACCTTGCCGCCTGGATCAGCATCGGCGCTTCGACCCCTCCCAGAATTTGAGCACTACGACGAGTCGAAGCGCTGCTTGCAGCGCCTCGCGTCAGGCTCCGGCGCCGAGGACGCGCCCGGAGCCTTCTCGCTGAAGCTCAGAAGGACCGCGAGAGGCTTTGGTCTCAGACCTGCGTCCTGTCGCGAGGAGTTCGAGACAAACAGTAACCTGCTCACAGCCAAACATGTTGATTATATCAATATGGCCGGCGCTGAGGACACCGTTGGAAAGTGCGTTAAGTGCGTCGAGGACACCTTTGGTAAGGTCAAACATAACAAGCATGCATGTACCAATTGCGCTGTGAGGTTGACAAAGGAAGGGGCGGCAATGTTACGGTGGACCAATATGAATACATCGAACGGCTCCGTCCTATACAACGTCCTAAACTCACGAGCGCAGGCGCCGACGCCAAAGCATCCAAGATGGTTGCTGACATGTTCGTGAGCCTCAGAGGCGCAAGTGGCCTCCAAGACGGCCCCAAGAGGGCCCCAAGACGGCCCAAGAGGCCTCCAACACGCCCAAGATGGCCTCCAAGACACCCAAGATGGCCTCGAAGACGGCCCCGAAACGTCCCAAGAGGGCCCCAGGTCGGCCCAGAAAGGCCCCCAAGACGGCTCCCGACGGCGTCAGACGTGCCAGGACCCCCCAAGATGGCCGAAGTTGGCTCGAAGCTGGCCCAAGACGACCCAAGAGGGCCTCCAGGAAGGCCAGAAGAGGCCAAAAACATGGATTTTCGGATTTTGACATTTCCTTCCTTCCGACGGCCCGAGACGGTCCCAGAGCCCCCAAATATCGCCGAAAGATCGCCCAAGAGGCCTCCAAGGTGACCCCAGAACGGCCCAAGAGGGCCCCACGACGGCCCCAAGAGGCCCCCAAAACGGCACAGGAGGCATGTAAAACGCCCAAGATGGCTTCCAAAACGGCCTTGGAGCATTCCAAGAGGGCCGTTGGCCTACGCATTAATCACGCAAGTGTGGTTGATGGTATATGTGGTCTCTCTACAACGTGTCCAAGAACCGACCAATATACAAGTGACGACTGAGCGCGATTACCAGGTGCTATCGAGGCCGAAAACATTTGTCGCTTGAGATGGCCCGTCGTTCCCGCGACGACCTCCTCTGACTGGGACTATCGTTTCTACGGTACAACAGAGCTGGAGCTGCGCTTCGCCTTAGGCGAAGCTTTTGGACGGGCCTCCCGGCCCCCTTCAAAATAGAGGCCCATGGAAGATTACAGAAAGCTTACCAGACCGCGGTGGGCCGTTTACCACGCCTCAGCGTGCTAGGGGGCAAGGTGGCGGATTAGGAGAAGATGATCACGAGGAGGCAGCGATGCCCTCGCCGGCATGTGCTCAGCGCTTGTCCCTCATTCAAGGTGGTATCTAAGTTGTCGAACCGCATCCGCTCCTTCGCTGCAGAGGTGAACTTCGAGCACGGAGGCGCCTACGGGGAACGATTTGTGTGTGTGCGTGTGTACTGCCAGGCTCCTCGTCCTCGTCCTCCTCCTCCTCCAACTCCCCCTGCTCCTCCTCGTCGTCCTCCTCCTCCTCCGCCTCGTCCTCCTCCCCCCCATTGTTATCCCCATCCTCTAACAGTCAAATTACTACTGCCATGAGGAACGCTAAATCAGGAGCGAATCTTGGCCCAGCCCCTTCGTTGGGTTCTTGTATTGAATAGAGCATCGCGGTCTCCAGCCTTCCTCCTCCCCCCTCCCTCATGCTATCTCCTCCTTCCCCTCTTTCATCTTCTCTCCTTACTACCTCGTACTCCTCTCTTCTCCTGCCTCCCGTCTTCTACTTTCTGCCTCCCGCCTACCTGCCGCCTACATCGTCATCCCCGGGGGGCTGCTGGGGGGGCGTCCAGCGGAGTGACTCCTTACTTCAAATTCAGGCTTAGACCTCGCAGTGCCTGGGGGCTTGCGAATTGCGAAACGTTCGCCACTTCCGAGTTCTGCTGGTGGGTCCTGTGGAGTGACGTCGTACCGCAGCTTGAGAGTAGACCTCGCCGTCCCTGTTGGGCTGCGAACTGCAAGCATGACGCCACTTTTGAGGGCTGCAGTGTAGTGTCTCACCGCAGATTCAGATCAGAACTCGCCATCTCGGGGGGGACTGCGAACTGCGAAACTGTCGCCATTTGTGCTGCTCCGGTGTCCAGTGGAGTGACGTCTTACCGCACATTCAGATTAAGCCTCGCCATCGGTGGGGGGCGGGGTGCGAACTGCGAAACTGTCGTCGCCATCCCTGCGGGGCTGCGAACTGCGGAGCTGTCGCGACTTTCGAGGTCGGTTGAGGGTCCAGCGAAATTACGCTTTTCCGCAGAAATTGTTAGACCTCGCCATTCCTGTGGGCCTGCGAACTGCGAATGTGATGCCACTTTTGAGGGCTGCTGTGTGGTCCAGCCGGGTGACGTCTTACCGCAGATTTAGATTAGACCTCGCCATCTCGGGGGGTTTGCGAATTGCGAAACTGTCGCCACTCTATGGGGCTGCTGGGGTGTCCAGCGGGGTCCTGGCTGCGCGCCTGCGGACGTTTAGCTCCCGCACTGAAATGAGCAGGAAGGCAGCGGAGAGGCTGGCGGGCGAGCTAGGCCTCGCGCGCTTCCTGCACTAGGTATGAACAGCTCATCCTGCGGGTTGCCAGAGCGACATGGCGCGGGCTGCGCTGCTCAACAGCGAGCCACTTGAGAACATCGACATCCTTCTATCTCCTCCATCCTCCCTCGTTGTCGCCCTCTTCCCCTTCCTCCGTCTCCCCACTGCTGTCGCGCTGAAATCTCGGGCTTCTTTCTGCCCTTCTCCCGTCTCTCGTTCCTGCCCCCTTCCTGTTCGAGCCTGGGGACTCACTCCTCGTCCTTCCACTGTTGTCCTGTGGGTCGTGCACCGCGCGGGCATTCCATGTAGCTTGCACTACAAATCGTGGTTCCTGCATTGTCAGTGTCCGTGCGGAGTTCGACCAGTTCCTCTTGCCACTTGTTGCCCACTGGTTGCGTACGTCGCAGGGTAATGGCCCCCAACCCGTCTGAGTGTATGGGAGGCAGGACCTAGACAGCGGCGAGCCCCTTCCAAACCTCAGCTGTGCCTTGTTGCAGCCTCCTGACTGTACTTCCGTCGGATCCTGTCGTTGGAATCGCCAGCCGCTGGAGCATCGTGCCTTTTGCCGCGGGCGCGCCGGGCCCCGAGGCCCAGATGCGGACCCTGGATGCGGAAAATGGGGGAACACCTTTGGTGATATTCTATTCTCTCGAGCCGCCAGAGGTCTGGGTCTCCAGGGGCCCGACAGGGATACAGCACGTCTAAGACTGAGCCGCGTCCAGAGCCTCGAACCTCGATCCGGCATCTCGAGTCGCCAGGGGTTTGCCACCTTCGTCCTCTATCAGCCTTGCCTCCGTGGCCCTGCACCGTCTGGCTGGTACCATGCGCCTCCGCCGAAAGGGCAGCATCGGAACGCTGGTGGTAAGGAGTGACTGAGCCTGCAGAGCGGGAGCCACTGCGGGCTGCCATTCCAGAATCTTGCCCGCCGGTGTGGTTTTCTTGGGGTACTCCTGGGAGTTTTTTTGGAGGCTTTTGGGAGCACGTTTGGGGCCTCTTCAGGGCCTCGTGAGCCCACTTGGGCTTTCTTGAAGCATCCTGTGCATTCGGGAGGCCTTCGGAACTCCTTTTGGACTCTTCTTGGGGCTAGTTTTGGGGCATCTTGGGCCCCTCTTGGCGGTTTGGGGGGCCGTCTGAGGACCGTCTTGGAGGTTTTTTTAGTGGCCTCTTGGGGGCCTCTTGGGGCCGTCTTGGGATGTCTTGGACGCCCTGGAAACCGAAGACCCGACATGTGTAACATCATATGGACACAAGTAGTGTTTCCCAACCATCCAGTGGTGTTGGGCATACCCTGCCTCTGCCTCTCGCGTGCCATTGTGGCAACCCGCTCACACGTTTCGTGGCCCCATTGGGAGCTCCATCGAAGTCCCCAGCAGCAGCGTCTGTATGTCGTACCCGCACCCGGTTCGGCGCACCCCTCACACGTTTCATTCCCCACAGGAAGCTCCACCGAATGCCCCAGCAGCAGCGTCCGCATGGCGTACCCGCACCCGATTCGGCACGCCCCTCACGCGCTTCGTGGCCCCATAATAAGCTCCACTGAAGGCCCCAGCGGCAGCAACCGCATTGCGTAACCTCGTCTCTGTCGGCACACTCTAAAGGGAGATGAGGGGGACGAGGATCCAGGGGGACGAGGGAAGGAGATGGCCACACAACTCGCGCACAGGGCTCGGGGCACCGCGGTCACGCACAACGGAGAAAAGGGAACGGCAGAAAGAGCTTGGAATGACATGGACACAAAACGGCGGCGCACGGGGCTCGCGCCAAACCAAGAAGACCCCCCGCTCGCCCATGCCCGCTTTTCTCCCCATCCACACCCCAATCCTCTTGCCAGACCCCTTCCTACCTCTCACCTGCCTCGCGGTGCTCGCAGCTGCAAAAGGTCGGGCCCTCCGCCAGGATAACCCAATGATTTTCACTCTTTGAGCCCCCCCAGGGTGTCCTCTTGAAGCTCTCTTGGGCCGTCGTGGGGGCCTCTTAGGGCTGCCTTGAAGATCTCTCAGTCTTGGGCCGTCTTGCGGCCATCTCGGGTCGTCCCGCGCCGTCTTGTGGCCATTCGAAGCCGTCTTGAGGCCATCTTGGGCCGTTTTGGGGCTACCTTGGAGGCGAACGAGGCCCAGCAACAACAGCCTGGTTAGGGGGTGGTGGGGTTGGGTGGGGATACCAGGGGCAACGTGCAGGCGGGACAGGCGATCCCTAATTGCATATCCATCGCCGATAGAGGCCCGATAGCCCACCCCGGCCAGGACCGTGCGATAACGCTATCGGGGGCCTCTCGCCGGTCTATCGGCGATGTATCGCCTTCTTCCGGCTCGATATCCCCCGCCCACCAGAGGTCGACCCCCCTCACGTTGCCCCGTAGGATACGCGAGGCCCCCCGCCTTCATTGTTAGTTACCTGATCAGCTAGCAGTTCAAACCCTCAATCAGTTACGGTAGGTTCGTGTCGAGTCGACGCAGCGGCGACCCCGCCGCGGGCGTTCAAGGCTGAACGCCGCAGACGGCCCAGAATCGGTTAAAACGGAACGATCTCACGATCGAGAAGCCGCCGATGCGGATTCACTCAAACATAGTAATACTAGATCAGCCAGCGTGGACCCCAGCCAGTGTGTTTCTAGCAATGCATGTCGTGCAACCTATGTCGTTCAGTTCAAGTTCTCCAATATGTATATATATATATATAAAATGTGAATAAATACTGCCCCCCTCGGCCCAGGGTCCGACACCTCCCCGTGACATCTCGGAGACGCTCCCGGTACCGCTTCCCCGGTCTTTCCGGGGAGCCTCCACAGCGCTCCAGGAGGGCCCGAGACGCCTCCCAGGAGCCCCCAGAATGCGAAAGGATGGCCCAAGACGCTCCCAAGCAGCCCAAGTCAGCCTTCCGACGGCTCTCGAGGCTCCCAGGTGGCCTCCCAGAGACCCCAAGAGAGGTCCGAGAGGCGTCCCGGGACGACCCGAAGAGGCCAAAATCGTTGATTTCCATTGTTTTTTTTTACCATGTTTTTGGCTTCTCGCGTTTTCGAGCTCTCAACGGTCCAAGAGCGCCGAAGAGGCTCCCAAGACTGCCTCAAGACTACCCAAGAGACCCTCAGGACGGCCCCAAGACGGGCCAAGAAGGCTGCAAGACTGCCGAAGAGGCGCCGAGGACAGCCCCAGACCACTCCAGAACAGGCCCAAGATGGGCCCAAGAGCGGGAGCAGGAGGCTTCCAGAGACCTCCGAGAGGCCTCTGGGACCACCCAGAGGCCCCCAACACACCCCCGATCCCTGAGAGGCCCCAAAAAGACCCCGACGAGGCTCCAAGAACAGCCCAAGAGAGCTGCGAGAGCCGTCCCGAGAGAGCCCAACGAGGGTACAATCGTTGATTTCCAATGGTTTTTTCCAATGTTTTTTCACCTTCTCACGTTTCCCGCTTCCAACCCTCAACGGTCGAGGATTTTGAAAAAAGAGGGAATTCCAAGAATTTCTTTTTTTTTCAAAAGTGGAGCTCCTACTCGGGGGTCCTACACATCCCCTGACATCTTGCCTGTACCGCGCCTCCCGGCATCCCGGGGGGCCCCCAAGACACCCAAGGACAGCCCAAGACGACCACAAGGAGCCCCCAAAACGTAAAGACTGGCCCAACACGCTCCCGCACAGCCCGAGACACCCTTCCGACGGCTCTCCAGGCCTCCAGGAGGCCTCCAGAACCCCCAGGGGTCCGGAAGATCCCACACCCCTGAGGGGCCCGGCAAAAAAAAAGCACGAGGCACAAACAAAAATCAGCGCCGAAGCGCCGAACTGCGCCGAGGAACTGGAAGAAAATGGACATCCCAGAACTCCTTTTTTTTCTTCTAAGTTTGGCCCCCGGTCCACTCTTGCACAACAGACCACAATTCAGACCCCACCGCACCTCCCC